AAAATATAAATTTATTAAAATTATATTAAATAAATAAATTATTTCTTTCTTGGGTTGAAAAGTGATGCAAAATAAAATAAGAGAAATAATTGAATAAATTACACTATAAAACAAAAATAGTAATTATCATGAAAAATCATCAACATAAAAGGGAGGGTGAAACTGTGAAACTAAATGAAATTGTGAAAGAAAGAGAAAAAAAAATAAGACCTCTTTTTCAACCTAATAATATACTATTTTTTTTTAAAGAGTAGAGTCAAGCCTATTTTTTGTTCACCAAGTTTTCATTTTGGCTTAATAATATATTACTAATGCAAAATAATGGTAGGACTTGGTATTTTAATTCATATTCCACTTAATGTATTATAAGACTAATTAATATATTATAAAATAAAAAATAAATGATTTGAAAAAGTCAACTAATCCCTATTAAAGCATATGCGAATCTTAGGTTAATGATGTGTTTAGTTGTTATAGAGATGAAAATATTACTCCATATTAAAATGTTTATACATCAAATACTAATAAAATTGGTAAATGATAAATTGAAAAGTTTAAGAGATAAGAAAAAATATTTATTTATCAAATTCAACTAAGAAAAAATATTTATTTATCAATTTCTCTTCTTATTATTCAACACCAAGAAAAATATATATTCATAATCTTTATAAATACCTTATAAAAAAGATTACTATTTCTTTATAAAGTATATCATTTTAACTATGATAAAAAATATAAATTTATTAAACTTATATTAAATAAATAAATTATTTCTTTCTTGGGTTGAAAAGTGATACAAAATAAAATAAGAGAAATAATTGAATTAAATTACCTAACTTATTTAATTATTTTTAACATGTTACATTAATTAACGTAATATGTTAAAAATAAGATACCTAACTCTAATAAAGTACCTAGTCTTAAACTTTATAAAATCTTATGTTAATTAAGACTTTTGATTAAAGAGTAGAGTCAAGCCTATTTTTTGTTCACCAAGTTTTCATTTTGGCTTAATAATATATTACTAATGCAAAATAATGGTAGGACTTGGTATTTTAATTCATATTCCACTTAATGTATTATAAGACTAATTAATATATTATAAAATAAAAAATAAATGATTTAAGCCTACTACTAGTCGAAACCTTGAAGTATCATATGAAAGGCCAAAACAAGGCTAAATCTAGAACAAGACAAAAATGGGTTAAACATCAGATGAAGTCCATACAAACATCAGATGAAGCCAAATGGTCAACTCAGATGAAGAACAGTCAAGGAAAAACACATCATAAGAATCAGACAAATCAAGCTAACTGAATAGATAAATGTTGATATGTGTGCCGACGACTATGAGTCTAATATCAGACAAAGGAGTGTCAAAGATAACCTCAAGTGCAACATAAGAAATTAGACGAAGCATGAGTCAAAGATTAGGAGAAAGTCAACTACACATCAAATGAAGGACAACACAGACTGAAAAGTATTCCAGACGAAAATAAAGACTATCCATTGATAATGTTGACCAGACCAAAAGAAAGCCCTCAACATAAACCCGTGATTAAAGGAAGAGATGAAGAAGAAGAAAAATACGCAAAAGTAAGAGTATGCATGTGTCAGAAAAAGTACATTACTTTTTCAGATAAGGACAACGCTCTACAACTATGTGACCAGAAAATGACAAAAAGGTTCCTAGGTCTCTGCTAATCTCAGACACAACTGCTAATAAACGAAGAAAACTACACGCAATGTCTATGAACGGGAAGCAACATTTAATGCAAGATCTTGAGCATTAAATAAAAGATCAAACTTATCATGAACGACTACATCTACTTCAACAGACACTTGCAACGGGCAAATTCTACAAGACCATATATACATCACTACTTCAAACCTTGTGATAGGCCCTATATGATGCTTCAAGGATGGTCCTCCATCAACATCACTGGTGACCCAATGATGGAAGACCATCCTTGAAGCATCATATAGGGCCTATCACAAGGTCCATGGCTAGGAGAGTAGAGGAAGATGAAGAAAACACCACACCAAAAGTCATGATCATCATATGTGTGGATTTTAAGCCCTCTCCTTAGTTTGTTGTTTTCTTTTCCTATTTTGCCCTTGTATTTTGAGGTACATTAAATATTAGGATTTTATTTTGTATTTATATTTAGCCTTTGTATTATGGGGAAAAATTAGTCTTAAGATTTATTTTAGGACTTAAACCTTAATTTAGAAGGTCAAAGTCCATTTCTTTCTTTTTCTAGACCTAAGGGCACTTTGGTCTTTTAGGAGAGATGAGAGCCATTTCATTTGGGCTGCATTTATGGTTCATTTAGGGTGCATTTAAATTTTTCTATGTACTCGTGGCTCGAAGAAGGGTCAACTATACTGGATGCTTCAAGAAACCCTTTGCGTGACTCGCAAGGGAAGACTCACAAGTATGAAGCCATTCTGCCTAACAAGCCTACATATGGGCCAAAATACTACTATCTCGAGCAATCTCGTCCTCCGGCTCCATTTTCTATTCTTGTTCGTCCACCTGCTTTTGGACTTAAACAAGTATCTCCTCCATCTTCTTCGTCCTCCTCTCAACCAACAGAAGAGCTGCCCGAACATTCTCCATCCATGTATTTTCTGTTAAAGCATTTTCCCGCACTTGCTATCACTGATCCACAAGGTCAAACAATTGAGGATTTCATTCCACTAGGCCAATATGATCTACCTAAGCCTGTGTGCATATATGAGGAAGCGGTATACAAGTGCACACCATACTACCCAGACAAATCCTTCTCTTCGTCTGAGGAATATCTAACTCTACCACCTGGTGCCATAACTGCTCTACCTCCACCAACATTCATGAGAAAAATCTATCCAGGAAGAGTAATCAAGTCCAAGTCTACCTGGACTCCACCACAAGGAACGTCTCGACTCATCCGACCCCTACATCAACAACAATCATCATCCTTATCACCCAAAAAGAAAGTGTCATCCTCCGGTTATCCAAAGAAGTCTTCATCTCCTCTACCAAAAGTAGAGTTCTTCAATCCACCAACAACATTCGTTCCTGTACATATGAATCACTACCGTTCATTCTCAACGTCGGACCGAGCAGCAATAGGTCATCTATGCCAATGTACAGATATACCCTTACAATTGTACATACCTCCCTCTCTATATATTTCAGCAGAAGCGCAAATTTATGTCTATCTTGACCGAATCTGTCCTCGACTTCCTCCGATTGACCAAAACAAGATGAAAGATCATGCCCTACATCTGGGACAGATGCCTAGACCATCAAAAGTTGAGATTCGCCAATACAAAGGAGTAAGCTTGAAATGGCAACAAGATCTTGCCAGGGCACTAATATATACTGAAGAAGATGCTGAAAATTTCTATAAGAACTTTATGCATAAGTGCGAACAGGAAGCTAGTTCGTTTGGTCTCCCAGATGAAGAAAAAGGCAAGACTCTAACGATGCATGGATATCGTTGGATGAGTCCATGTAAAGTGATATACTTCAGCGACACATTTGTTGCCTTTCTTAACAAACGACAAGGGCCTGATCTTGATGCTCTTAGCAAGAGATACTTCATCCATTCCTCTCTTTTCAATCTCGATCCATACAAAAATGAGTGGAAGGTTGTCACAGACACATGGCATAAGGTTGAGTATGAGTGGTGCAAGGACATTCCATCATGGAAACCAGGTATGCCTATGCCCTGGGATGCTTCCTCCGAAGCTGCACAATCTGAATCCCACACGTCTGAGCCTATCTCTGTTGAGCCAATCTTTGCGACTGGACCTCTAGTGGTACTTCAATCTACCCTTGATCCAGCACCGCAATATGTCTTGATTGAGGAATTCAACAAATTCAGGATAGACCTAGATGACAAGTTTGAAAGCTTGTTTAGCCTGATTTCCTCCAAGCTTTCAAAAAATCCTCCTCTGTCCTAATGATCATAGTTAGGGAAGCTAGGATAGCTCGTACAAGATTAGTCATGTTAGGAAGTAGAATACAATGTGTATTTTCTTTTGCACTTTTTATTGTACACACTCATTGTCATTTAATACATTTTTTTTCTTTGATACCTTGTTGCTTATCTTGTCTCCATTTTTTTGATGATTACAAAGGAGGAGAAATAAAAGAGACATTAATCAAATATACTACTAACATCTCATATACGATATATACGATAAAAAATTCCAAGGGATAATCGAGTAAGGGGGAGTGTTACGTCTCATAAATAAAACAATGATCCAAAGGAATATAACTAAAATAAAACACTTCAATTCCTCAATTTTAATATAAAATAATTACATTTTTTTATTTACAGATTATTTGGCAACCATATCCGCCTTTGGAACAGATGCCTGAGGACTGTACACAAGGGATTCGTATTTGGGGTTCTGTAATCCCGTTACTTTCTCTGTGTATTTGTGACAAAATAAAATAAGAGAAATAATTGAATTAAATTACCTAACTTATTTAATTATTTTTAACATGTTACATTAATTAACGTAATATGTTAAAAATAAGATACCTAACTCTAATAAAGTACCTAGTCTTAAACTTTATAAAATCTTATGTTAATTAAGACTTTTGATATTAAAATTTGTAACTCTTATTATATTGGACAACTTATTTAATTTGAAAAGTTATATTCTTTTACAACTTTCTCTTAGTATTCTAAATAAAATATCAATTCTTATAAATAAAAAATATAAATATTTTAATATAATCAATAAGAGAATATAAACATAACAAATCTTGCTCAAAGTGTAATAAAATTCTCTCTCCAACCCTTCAAATATTTCAACACAATTACAAGTGTAGGATTCCATCCATCTCGAAACAATAATATATAAAAATATTATTATTCTTAGAAATAAATCCTAAAAAGGTGAAATTTGCGAAATGTATTATTAATTATTATTCTTTATTGTTTATGTTCACCACTTCAATTCACAGCGGTTGGTCCACGCGCTCAAAATACACACACATACATATGTGTCGTTCACATTTACTATCATCTTGTAAATAAACCCTAAAAAGGTGAAATTCGCTGTGTCGTTCACATTTACATTCACATGGGAGATTAACAGGAGTGAAGGATTCCCAAAAGTGAAATAATTGGGCAGAAGAAGAGAAAGTGGTGGTGAGGTGCGCCACGCACTGGTAGCGCCAGTTTCATCTCACCAGTGTTCATTCCAAGTAACAGTGTGACACAGTTTGAGTCACTCGTCAAATGCATGGAGGAGGAACAGGAACAGCAGCAACAAGGACAGGGCCCTGTCCCCATTGACTGGAACCAACTCCTCGACAACAGCCACTCGCCGCCGCGCGAGCTCCTCGTCGTCCCGTCCTCCGCCATGGCCTCCGATCAGCCCCCCGCCGATGACCTCCACGCGTTCACGGATCACAAGCTCAAGGAATCGATTCAGAGCATGAAGCAAACCCTCGACGGAACCGGTAGGAATTTGCCCGACAATGGCGCCAAGCTTCGCGCCACCATCGGCCGTTACCAGGATGAACTCGCTCGTCGGGAATTCAAGCGCCGTCGCCAGGTTCCGCTTCCAACGCTTAATTTGTTTTTTTTTTTTTTTTTTTTTTTTTTTTGGGTTTTATACTTTTTCCCTTCTCCCGCAGGGAAAGTTTTTTTAAAGGAATAATATTAGATTTTTGAAAATTATATTCCTAAAAATAATATAATCTAGTATATTATTTCAAAAAATATAAGAAAAGATTTACTTTATATATAAAAAAATATAAAAAAGATGTTTAATTTATTTAATATTTTTTTAAAATTTAAAATAATTTAAATAAAAATAGAAGTTATAAGATTATAAAAATAACTTCCAATACTTTTATAGAATATCATTTATCCACCTCTTTATCATGGAAATAAAGTTCTTCT